CAGTTGTGAGGTGCATCAAATATGTTATGCAGCAGTTAGGCTTTATAGTAGCAGCAACGTAGCAATGAGATTTTTTTATGGGGCAATGTATTTAAGGCTGCTTGATTTAGATAATGAAATTAATTGGACTTTAGTAGCTTCTTCACATTTTCCTAAAAATTAAGACAACTTTCGAAAACTGTGAATGAAATCTTTAGGAAATTTCAAATCATATACTCGTTTATTTATGTGTTATGAGAATACTTCCATTCAGCAATATTTGAAGTCTTGCATATTTTTGTAACAAAAAGCATACAGACTATAAAGTGAAGCTCTATGTAAATTAATATCAGCAAACTACTAAAGTAAGTTGTGTTTATTAAAAAATATAAAAGAAAAGCGAACTTAAATTCTTTTAAAGTGAACCCCATCTGCTCGCATTATTCGTTTTAAAGTCTTATATTTTTTGCATCGTTTAGGGGGTAATGCCACTTGCACTTTTTCCTAAGCCACCTACTCAAAAGAAGAAGAAAAAGAAGAAAATGTCATAAACGTGGTTTAGTAACTTCACTGCAGATAGTTAGCTTTTGTTTTCAAAATTTCGCTTTCCGCCGATTTGTGTTAGTAGTTGTCAGTAGTGTTAAATGTTAAATATGCTTAAATCGGACTTGCATCTAAGCTGCTGTCGTTTCAGTTTTGGGATGCACTACTGTTATTGTCACGACTTCTATTGCTATGTGCTATCCAAACGATATTGGATTATTGTAATTAAATTGAACTTTTAAAATTGTCTTTGTGTTTTTTTTCCGATTTTGACTATTGTTTGAGTTTCTTTTGGCATAGCTGCCGTGTCAATACTTATTTATTTCATTGCCTTTAATAGCCAAAAGAGAAATCCGCTTTGTTTAGAGATGAACAGAGATAAATCATGCTAACTAATTTAAAAGGTGTCTTCAATTTCGAATGATTATATTTCGAAATGTTTGATCTTGGTTTAATATTGTGCTAAAGTTGAATTACTCAAATCTTGGCTTAATTGCAGTTGACTTTAATATTGGGATTGGCTAAAGGTTGCCAGTTGTTAGTTTAAGTATTTTTCTTAAATGGGAAAATGATCAAGTGATTCTTGATAAAATATTTAGAAAATTTTGTTTAATGAAAACTAATTTATGATATTTTCTTATTTTTTTATATATTTTTTTTATATTATAATACAGGGTAACAAGCATCAAAGTTAAATCTAAAAGTATGAAATACTAAATTTTATGTACATCTAAATTTTTTCTTAAAACTATTAACTTGAAATAGAATATTTATCTGCAATGCATTAAGTCTGAAAATAACTTCATGAAATGTTTAAACTTTTAAGATAAAAAACTTTAATACTTCATAAAAGGCTCGTAACAGAGATGGTTTACATACTACATTCCATTTATATGCAAATTATACTATGAGTTTTCAACTTAAATGGGAAACATTTGAGTTTATATATCTTGGAACAGCTGAACGAGTTCCTTTGAATGTTTACCAATATCAGGGACTTAGAATACTTGATGAAAAAGCAATTACTCAAGTACATAGCGGTTTAATTATAAGTGTGAAAACAACGACCAATTTAATAGAAAAGCATTATCTTTGAGTAACAAGTTAACTAATAAATTCTAAAGTTCAATAGAGATATCTAATAAAACGTCTTCTCCGAAGCACTTTAAAGTACGAGTTGCACTGAAACAAAGAAAATGTGGTGTTATATTTTTGATATGCTATTTAAAAATGTGTACTTTAAATCATATGCATTTAAAACTTTTACATATGTGTATAACAAATGTGTAAAATCAATATATATGATATAAAAAAATAATAAATAATATTAAAACTGTATGAATATTTGTGCAAAAATTAATGAACTGATGTAATCTAACTATGGCAGTTCCCTGCGCTATAAAATCCTTGAGTTTATTTCGGCCTTAAGACTTAGTTTACTTTTTAATTATATTTAATTAATTGAAGCTTAATTTAAAAAAGCTCTTAACTCAATCCAAATAAGACCTAAAACTATAAATAGCTTTAAACTTAATTTTTAAACAATACCAATGCAATAGTTTAATATATTTAAATATTTATTTAATATTTGTAATACTTCATAAAATATTGAATATTTTCAATTAAATAAATAATATTTAATATTTGTACTTCATCCTGGAAAGGGAAGTTTTTTAGCGGGTCAACGAGTATCGTAAACGATTACATTTATGAAATATGTTCCATTCATTAACTTTGAGTACTAAACCCAGAAAAATTATGTACAAATGTACTATTTTTTTAAATAATTTTTTATTAAAACTATCTCTACACATTTACCAAAAATTTATTAGTTATTAATTTTATACAATCATATTAACTATATGGTTGAAAACTACATTATTGAATTTTCATAAAAAAGGTTTTGTTAACCATAAACGATAATTTCTTTTATTTTGAACACTTTTTCTCATATTCGCCATTCTCATCCCACTAAACCTTGCCTTGGAAGCCATTCGCTGCCACAACAATGATGGTTCAGATTCACCTACATTCACAGTAGCTTAGCTGTCAGCCATAGAGTATTAATCTCAAGTGTCTGCCAGATCGGAGCTTAGTGTGACAACTGACATCAAAATGAGTTTAAGTAAATGCAGTTTAGAGTTGCGTTAAGAAACTACATAAAACTAAACAAAAAAAAAAAAATTGTAATGTTTGTTAAGTGTCATTGATGCTGCGATGATAGCTTTCAGTTTTTCCGCTAACGTTGTGCATAAATTCCACAGATCGTGGTAGGTTTGTAGTTCAGACGATATTTTTGCTGAAAGCTTTAGATAAAATCTGTAACAATGGCTGAAACAGCCAGAAGCAATTGTAGTGTGTATTTTTTTTTTAGTTTATAAAAAAAAATTCTTTTTTTCTTAATATTTTATACATTTTTAATATTGTTTTTTTTTTTGCTGTATTTACAGCAGTCACTTGGAGTTACTTACTTACCCAGCGTTAGGCCACAACACAACATTTCTACAATGAAATTTAGTGCAATCGTCACTTGTTCCGCTGTTTTGTGGGTTGTTGCACATTTTTCAGCTTATTTTGTTGTTTTTTATTGGATGTTTTGTAGCTAATTTTTTTTGTCACAATTTGCAAAAATTGTTACTTAAGTGGCAAACAATATTATAAGGTCCCACTTGACTTGTCTTGAGTGTCTGTTGCCATGTCTGTTGGCATGTCTGTCTGCTGTCATTCGGCTTCGGCAGCAACCAATTGGAAATGGTTATGTGCTGTTTTGGTGTCTTCTGTTTGGTGTTTGGTGTATGGTGTTAGCGAAAGTTGACCTAGTACCAAGCTGGTACCACAAATACACCTTGAGTCATTTTTAAAGTTCTTAACCGTTTTTCACTTCTACTATTTTTGCCATAATTTCCATAAAACTGAGCCATATAAGGAAAATATTTAAAGAATCATTCGAAAGTAGTTTTTACCATAAAAGTTGATTATGCTTTAAAATCGTTTAAATAACTGTATTTGTTAGAAGCTACAATATCTACAGGTTTTTGTCACATATAAAACAATTTGTTTATTACTGCCAGCTGTGAAAAATTCTAATTTGTTTCAGTTTTTAATTTTCAATTTTAAATTTTCAATTTTCAGTTTTCAGTTTTCAATTTGTCTGTCTTTAATGCTAATAAAGTTCTTAAGTAAATACTAAAAGTTAGCGATGGTTAATATTCCATTCTTCATGTTTTTACTAATTGAAGGAAAAGTTGTGAACTTTCGTTTTTGTTAATTAAAATGTACAACAATTTCATATATTTCAAAGAAAAAAAAATTCCATTTAACTATTGTCATTTTGCACTCTTTCGCCTTGCATAAATAATTTTAATATTCAATTATGCCAGACATGGCCAACGAGGGTATCACTCGGTGGTCAGTGGTCAGTGGCCAGTGGCCAGTGTCCATTGCTCATTCCTCATTCCTCAGATGCAACAAATCGCTACTGATTTTCATGTGGAATAATTTAAAATTTTTATGTAGTTTTTTTTTCTTACAGAAGAAAGTTAGTTTTATGCCAAATTTATGTAAATTAATGCGTATTTATTATTCTCGTGAATTTGTAAAATGATTTGTGCTTCTGTTAAAATTTCTGTCATGTACACAATAAATAATCTCGAATATATAAATTTCTTTGGTAATGAACTTTTACTTACAAGTAAATTCCGTTTGAGATACACTTTTTTAATCAATTTTGATTAAAAGTGAAAATTTTACAGAATAACGATGAGAACTGTAGTACAACGTAGGTTGTAACCGGCTTATTAACAATAATAAGTTGCTTTATTTAATTTACTTAAACTACTCAATGCTAAATTTTTGATGATATGAACTATATAAGTCATGTGATTCAGACTATAAGAAGTGTGCATGACTTATTTATTTTCAATTCATGCTGATAGTATTGAAATAATAACATATTATACTAACTAATCATACTAGAATCATAACTATGTATTTCCAGTTAAACAAGTATTTGAAATTTTTGGTTACATTTAAGTACAAACAACTCTACTTAGCACTGTCTAATTTCAAAGATCTTAGACGAGTCATTGAATAATCACGAAGCTTATGAGAAATACACAATTTAGTCAGTGAGATGGGTCGGACCCTACAGAAACACCCCAGCTATCAAAGAGTAAAAGTGCACAGATGCATTAACTCGGAAAAGGTCCAATATTAGACAAGCTTTAACCAAATACTTTAAAATATAAAGTAAACACAGCCATAAAATAATAAAGAAACTATATTCGATATTCTCAGTAATTGTAGTACGTTGAAAGATAGAATATATGTAAGATTAATGATTTTGATTTCAATAAACTTATTTATAAGCACTACTAACTATTCCATTTGAAATACTTTTAATTTAATACTATTTCATTATACCTTAAATTAGTTGAATTCATCAATAACATTTGTTACTTCTTTCATTACAGCTTATTGAGATTACAAATCGCCACCTACTCCAGCTTACACACATTAATTTCCTCCTAAATTGGTAAGTTTTCTAAGTCATTCTATTGACACAAATTAAATTAAATCATGTGAACTATCATAAAATATATCGGAAACTATTGTTATTGCCAAAAGTACTAGCTTAGCAAAGCCGTACACGTTTAGGGTTTGTTTGGTTGGAGGTCTTAAGACGTTAGAATATTTATTACAGCGAGACGGTCTCATCAAAATACCAAATACAATTTGACCGCCTTTTAATAGGCCTAATTGCCATGCACGTCACACGTGCTTCCACTGCGTGCCATCATGCTGCTGTACGCTTTTATATCTGAAGGTGCTGCAGTGGATTTGTGGATGGAATGTTGGTATCTGATATTCTGGAAAAATATTTACAAACAGCACACGTATTAGAGTAGACATTTTTAACGGTTTACTGTCTGCAATTGTATTTGAACTGACACATAAACAATGTTGAGGTGTCATGAGGAGAGTTACAGGTATATAAATTATATCAGCTTCAGGTCTTTAATGAGATGAATAAAAATTTTTAAGAGTAAATATGGGAATACTGATATACATTGATATGAAAATTAGGCTTCAAAAAAAGTCGGCATATTAACAGATGTGGTCAATTATGACAGATTATTCCAACAAGCGAAGGAAACGGATTTCATCATATATTTAAGAAATTAGTGATACTCTTCAAAATTAATATTAATAAAATATATCTATATTAATATCGACGTAAAAAAAAAAATTTAATATCTAAGTTTAAAGTGTAGAAAAATTTCGTATTAGTAATATTTTCTTAGAATAACAAGTTTTTTTTTCTATATTTATATTGATCTTAAAGTAAAAAATTTGTATATAGTAGCCTATATTTTTGGTTTATTAGTGCAGCACAAATCGTTACTGCGAAGAACAACAGACTTTTATCTAGAGTTTTCAAGTATGTTATAGTACTAGATGTGCAATTGTAAATCAATTACAATTTCATATTGCTTAAAGACAAAGATTATAATTAAAATAAGGCTTCTCTTTAGAGGTTTTCTTTATTTCGTAACTTAATTGATTACGAAGAAACTAAATGCAGCAGTATTTATGAAAACATTCTAGTCGCTCTTTCTTAGCATTAAATTTGGTGTTTCCTAATAATATAATATTTCTCGAGAAATAGAAAATAATATTTCCCACAGCTATGGTTATTGGATTTCAATTAATAAATCATGTAATTAAGTTAATCAATTTCAAACATTTTAGTCGACCTTTCTTTGATTTTCAGATGTTAGCCGTAGCTCAGTCTTTTTACTTCTTAACCTGTAATTTAGCGAATGGTAGAACTCATTTTCCTGTTAAGAGTTTATAATCACAATTTTTCAAAAATCTGTAAAATCGTTTCTCAATTTTCCTTTAAGTATGCCCACATGCCAATCAATTAATTTTCTAATGTAATAAATTCTTTTTATGAGAATTTGATGCAGGAAAATTGGTGTCTGAATCCAACAATTAATGCGAACGGCTTCAAACGAAGCTATTCAATCCTATAACAAATATGTATCACTTTCAAAACTTATAGAGAATAAAATTTTATATCTTCTTATTTATTATTAGCAAACTCATTTATCATTTATTTTTACATTTGTTAATGGCTCGCGGTGCTTTAGCCACGTCTCGACCCGCCTTACTTTCTGATAAATAAAACTCAGTTCATTTTATTAGGAAATGCAATTTCTTACTATAAAATCATTAAATATGTTAGTAATTAATAAAGTAAAAGACTTTTTTCCTTTAGTGCTACTTAATTACTTTAAGATTACAACCTAATTTTTCTTTTATTTAAAAGTACTTAACTAATTTCTCACGGTCAGGCTTAAGTGGCTTGATAAATTGATTTTTTCGGCCACTTAGCGCAATATAACCTTCTATCTTCATACAAATTTAGTAATATTTTATTTCATTTCTTCTGTTCCTCGCATTGAAATGTAATCAATTAACAAATCTCTCTACTTACCATATAGTATGGCTCCGCATAATTGCCAGCAGTTAAAATGCAATTCAGTGATATGCGAACACTGGACTTTCTTATGATTGCTAATAATGTTGTTAGGAAAGATACTGTTTGACCAAAACCGAAGAAATTTTGTATTAATCCAAATAAAAAAATGTTGCACCTCAAATTACAAATGCAACTAGTTGCAAACATAAGTGCTGCAAAAATGGGTGATAATTATTTTGTTCAATAAATTATTGTTGCTTATACAATGTTGTTGGCAGCAGCTAATGCACGCACCAGCAGCCAACTTCTTTATCAGTAACAATTTCTTCCTGGTGCAAACATGGCTGCTCCACTTTCAGCGAAGCTGCGTTTGTGCACATGTATCTCAAAGATTTTATTCTTGCATTTAGTATAAAGACTTCTTCAGAGTTTCTAGTTCAATTATGGTAACTGACTTTTAATGCGATTTTTCCGTGTTTAACATGCGCCAACACTTAAAGGTGAAGCGTTAAACCTGAACTTATATGGCCGGGCAAAATTGATTTTAAATATATTGTGGGGAGCTCCAAAGCTTCTGCCTGACAATATGATTTATGTAACTTTACATAGTTACATTGCAAGCAAAAGATATGCTGTGGAATGCCAAAGGCTTTCTTTTGCAGATGAACATAAAGCCACTTTGAGGTTTATTTAAATATCTTAGCCTGCCTCTGGTTTTTCTCTGAATTTTCCTTTCAAAATTAGAACTCTTAGAAACGTCATACAAAGCAGAACTACACAATAAAGTGAGAAGACTCTGGATAGATCTAATTGACTTGATTTAATAAGTACAATTATTAAACGGTTAATTAAATTGTTTTCTAGTCAAAATTTGTGAATAATTCTTAAAATTTAACATTTTCAATACAAAGAACATAAGAGTTTTTTTTATCAATAAGAAACAAAGTAGACCGTTAATACCTGAATACCTGAGAAAAATAATTCTGCGTTTCCAGTAAAGCAGGATATTGTAGCAACGGGTATTATGGACATTATTGGAAATGGTATTTTGTCATCTCTGACAGAGCCATGTTATTCGGATGATACCACAGGTTACATTGGTACTGGAAGAAACAATGGTGCATTGTATCTATAAGCAGAGTGTTTCCAAAGCGAATTTGTACTTTTTAATACTATTGACTAATCTAACTAAATATGTTGGTTCAAAGTCTGATTGTTTGATTTAATGAAAACATTTTGAGGTACTTGACTTCTTTCGGGTAGAGGTTAGCATAATCTGTCTGGTGATCTATCTGCAACCACAGCTCTATCTTAGTGAGAAGAGAACGAAGTTATAAGGTTATCAGTTATAGTTATAAGGACGATTCAATTGTTCAATCAAGTGATTTCATTGAGCGTAGCTTTTATAAACTTTCTTGATTTTTATTGAATTTCTGATAAGACGTATAAACTATAAATTTTGTTGATTTAATAAATTTTAATTGATTTTTGTTGCCTTCAATAAATACATAAACCAAAAGTTTTTCTCATTTTACTTATGGTTTTTTAGAAACCAAACTTTTTAGATTACATCAATAAAAATATATTTACAGGTAAAGTAAAAAATAATATGTATTCTATACAAGATGCTTCTTAAGTGAGGTTCTGGAAGTTGTAAAAAAATTTTCTAGACTATAAGTTTCTAGCACTTTTAACCTAAGTCGCGTATGCGTTGGCTTAATACAATATCCCTTGCTTGCTGGCAGCTCCTTTAAGGAACAATAAGTGGAATATTTAATCTCCTAGAATAGAGTTTCACCCGAAAGTGAAATGACAATATCTCTCAAATAGTGCTTAAACATCATTTTTGAAAAAAGTTTTAAAGAAGAACTTATTTTTATATCTCATACAAGTAACATGAGCACAAAGTATTTTAGTTAAGTCGACAAAATACTCTTTATCATTGCTTTGATATGAAAAACCGTGGATCTGAGAATAATACTAATACTGCAATGATTGAGTGATCTGTATTAGTCCAATATCGCATTATTTCATATTTTAATTAAAAAACTATCAGACTTTTCAAAACAAATTGACATAGAAATCGTTGAAAAGATACTGTAGAGAAATTTCTAGTTTGTGTCAATCTGAGCAGATTGATTATAAGCTGACAGTAAGACAGGCTCTGAATTCTTTTATAATTGAAAGTAATGCTAGACACAATAAGTTAAAGTGGTTTCTGATTGTAATTGATTACAGATGAATTGCAGATAAGATAAGTGCTTAGTTAATGTTTAGGCAAAATTTATTAAATACGTTTTGCTGACATTTGATAAATAAATAAATTAAATCTCATAAGCAGCTTAAAGGAGTTTTCATATCAAATTTTTGATGGTTGAGTTCCTTCACATCTCACTGTGGAATAACAAAACTATTGCCAAAGGCGAAAGTCGTTATTATGGCAATGGCCTTGTCTGAATGAATAACTTGCTAACAAAATAATTAAGTTAAATCTGGAAGCCAAAGTGAAAATTAAAATTTTTGTCTAAATTTTATGTTTATAAGTATTTTAAAATGTTCAACGTCTAGTAATTCTTAACAAAAATTTAACTTTACTAAACTGGGTCGAGGATATGCATCAACAAATTTTTATGCTGTTTCAATAGCGGCAAATTGCTATTGTTGTGAGCGGTATTGCGGTGTTGGTAGCATAATATTGCTGTCTTAAATCACGTTTTTTACCTTGTTAAATATATACTAAAAATAATATTTATTATTTTGTGAATTAAACAAAAATCAGACTTGCTTAAATGATCTCGTAGTGCTGCTATTATTTAAATAGCACTCATTCTTTATTTTCCTCTGCAAGTCGTTCACCGAACAAATTTCACTTTGAATTTTGCTAAATAATATGCATTAACTATTATTTGTAAATATACAACGATAACACCGTCATCGCTTGCAGATTATAGCAAATTCTCAATATTTGTGACGTAGCTTAGATTGTGAAAGCAATATTGCAAATTACAATAAATCAAAGCATCTTTAGAATTTGCTTAGTGTTTGGT